TGGCTTTCTTCTTAGCTTCACCACAACCTGTAGCCTGTGAGTGGCCTTAGTAAAATGAACAGCCAACACTGAGTGCTCCATCAGCACTATGCGGTAAATACGTACAGACCGAATGGATCGAAGTTTTCCCTGTCTCATGCAATCTACGTATATCCCAGCTTTGTGCACATGATCCGTTCTCGAAGAGTTCTTCTTACTTTTCGACTTATTCCGGAGCTTAACCAAAGATTCGTTGTGATAAGTATTTATAGTCCTAAAGTGAATCCGACTATGATTTAGACTGATCGGGATAGTAAACTTATCTTCATTTTTATAAATGCGCACAGAAAGTACAAGAGAACTAGGTTTCTTCTCAAGTGGGTACCACCAATTTAGTTCCTGTTTAATAGATACGACTTTGAGGCAGACTCTTCCCTTATTCGTTCCCATGACATCCACAAAAACAGCTGGCGGAACAAGAACCCACTGAAAATGATCGCTTGTTAATACTCGAATGAATTTTTTTGGGAAAGTTTTAAAACATTGAATATCCAGTGCAACTGCGCTTTGCGTCATCTCTCTTTTTTCACCAAGATCTGTTCGGTAAATATTATGGGGAAGATAATTTAAATGGCGATAGAGACGCTCTGTTTCCCAAGTAGATTTTAGCCAGAAAGTCCATGGAAAAATGTCTTTTTTGTTTCCCAACGTTTGAGTCCTAGCAATCAGTTTTTTATATAAAGGCTCTTTTAACTTGCCAGTCACGTATGCCCTATAGTACTGATTGTAAATTGGCCATGGTGGACGAGAAGTTCTTTTGCATAATGCTTGCATTGCTTCATATATTTCTAAGCAAGCTAGCCTAATGTTGATGAATGGTTGTTCCGTGAGAAAGTGCACGTCATCGTCAAGGTATATTTCCTCAAAATTATCATTAATTTTGCTTACCAACATGCTTAGTAAGGTATCCTTTTTTTTATCTGACGGATATAAACGGTGTGCTAATGTTAAGGTTAAGTTCACCAATCTTGCAAGAGAGCTTCGCGATTGAGGATGAATGGCTGTGAAATTCCTTAAAAGAACTATTCCAGAATCCGTATTTTGCAAATGCTGCATTATAGATTGTACGGTTTGCAAATACCGATGCAGAAGTCCTTTTTCCAAAAGTTTAGGAATATTATGTGGAATATTTTGTAGAGCATTGATCTTTACCTTTATCCAAGTGGTGTGGCATGCATATAATGTATCGCATACAAGCACTTTTATGATGTCAGTGACAGGTAAGTAAACCTCGCAGTTGCAGTCAAGACAAGTACCAAGAAGAACTGGGCCTACATAGTACCAATACTCAATGGGGTGGTTCAACGACACAAAGTTTCGACAACAAGGGAAAAATGGAGTCACTGCCTCGTGGCCTTCCTTTGGATAAATCGAACAAGTTCCGCCAGAGGGCCTAGAGTTTTTAATCAGGATTTTACTCATCCGGCCGTATCGCAAATCTTCCGATGAAACAACAAGGTTAACCCGGGTCACATTCGATGATGTCCGTATGTACATTACTAACTCATTGCTACTAACCACTAACTGACCATCAATAAACCATTTAGATTTTATATTTTGACTGCCACAGTTTAAGCATCTTGAATGAAGATGAACCTTTGCATTCGGTATAAAGAAATCCCTCTGACAATTCATTACGCATTCTATCGTTACCTGTAGCACTTTATATTTCGTCATAGTAATAACTTGCATTGTTTGCGATGAAACATTTGGATTGTCATCTCTAATCACTTGCAAACGAAAGATGTATCTGCAGTTAAGCATTAGGGAACTGGCAGGAATAGAAAACACCGCAACTAATAAAGAAGAATAGTTTAAAGTAACTAAAAATGTCTATCAAGAAAAATCTCACCCGACGATATGTTTCGATGGCAAAAGCGATTACTTTTGTCGTCAAATGAATAGCAGTCCCAATTATAGTTCGAAAACTGAATATCCCCACTTCTTTTAGAGAAATCGTAACTCATGGAGCCATTCATCCAGAGTTTGTCACTTTGTTGAGCCCGCCTAGCTCTACCGCCAATAATTACGGATTTCACCTGGCCCATAACAATTTTGAGATAACATCGAGCTCCGAATTGCAATCCATTCGACTTTCCCTCGACTCGTAGAACATATAAATTTCGCCACAATTCATAGGGTGTGAAAAACCGCAAAGTAAACGGCCGGATATAAAGGTAAGGGCTATATGTAGAATATGATGCAAACTGTGCTGTGGAAATGATGGATAGAAAAGGTGATTTAGTAAAGTGGACTACTCACTTAACCCAACAGCGTCCCTCAGACTCCAATTATAAATACCATTGACTTTTAGGTCACAGTCTTCCAGGAATTGTGCATTTATAAGAAAGCCTCGAGTGATCAGAACTTGTTTTGGGGATTGGGGATCTGAGCACGCTAGCATTGTCAATTGCGGAGAACAATGCTGAGGAAGACTTACTTCAATAGATACGATTTGTATTACTTCAAATATCATAATTGGTTTTATTCGACCAAGAAGCGTAAGTTCTGTATTACCAGCCGTCCAAAAAGTAGCGGTTAAATTGGCGTAGTACCCCTCTTCATAGTCAGGTTTTATTTCCGTTTTAATTCCGAAATATGAAAGATTCTTACTGATTGATGAGGTTTTTTCAAATTTTGGCGGCATTTCTTTTGCAACATTTCCAACTTCAAAATAGGCCAACAGGTAGTCGGGAGTACTGAACCATATTGTAATCGTGGACTTAACTGGCAGAAATTCCATGGTTATAACGATATGAGTTTGCCTTCCGAATGGCACATATTCATTGCAATAAATCTTAATATTGGCTTCTCTTAGTTCATTTGCTTTAACAAACGGAATAGTCAAATTCAGTAATAAAAGTACAAATATTTTTTGATTTATAGACATAAAGTCATTTTTACTAAAGGAAATGATAGAAATTTCAAGGATGAGGCATAATTTTGTTTTCCAAACTGACCCATTACTAAATACCTTGCTTGCTGATTGTGCATATAATGTGTAATACAAGTGTTCTACTTTTTTGATATTAAACATTTTACAAAGCCAACGTTTATTATTCTACAGTTTGGCGTATAACCGCAAAGTATCGATATGTGATGGTCATCAACTACGAAGGATTACATATTATTATTGATATACGGTTTTATGAGGGCAAACTTACTATCTTAAAGGTCTCAAGGGAAATAATAATAATTCCCTTGGCTGATATTTCTGCAGGACGTTGGGCGCGACCCATTATAATGAGTAGTTTCTTTTTGTATCGCAACGTGCCGTCATACCACCTGTTTTCGTATGCAGCCTCAGCTATTTTGGTACTCTGAAAAAGGTATGTTACTAGGTGACCCAATATTGCATGTTTTACCCACGAAGTCGATTAGCATTTGTCCATGTAAGCTGACCATATAAAACTGGGCTGCCACACTCACAAAGAGCATCATATACGAAATGCCTTCCATATTAAAACCCTGCACGACGGTATAGTAGGCCATACAGCAGAGTAAACTGGCGGTGGTAAACAGATTGGAGGCCAAAAGAAGTCCAAATACATTGTTTACGTCCTGGTGGTAGCTGGCAAAAAAATTAAAATTATTTCAAAAATGTTTTCAAATTAGTTAGTGCCTCTCACTTACCTGAGAATTAATTGATGTCTTTTTACCACCCCTGCCAGAAAATTACAATCTTGTCGTTCTCTTTCTCTATTTGGACAATAGGAGGATAACACATTGGCTAGATAGGCAAAGTGCATCGAGATTTGACTTGAAATACACATCATCCATAGGTCTGTCCCCAAGCTCACATTCACTATGAGTTGACTATCCCAAAGGTGTTTCTGAATCGAAGCTAAGACGCGTGGGGAAAATGCGTTGATAGGAAAACTCGGCTTTGCCGAAGCCTATTAGGTACATAATGCAGGACTGAATAAGAGGTCCTAGTGCCATAAGAACCATTGTAAAGTAATATAAACACAAAACATATCGAGTTGTTCGTGATAGGTAAAATCTATTAACATGGTACTCCTCTTGCTTTTGATCATCATGTGGATATATTTTCTTCAAGTTATTACTTAGCAAACGTAAGCGATGTCGATAAATTATAAATGTAACAAACTTCACTTGGGCACTAAACATGTAAAAGAAGTGTAGAAATTGTCGCATGATTTTTGAGGGACTTCCGGCCAAGGACTCCCACTGAAGGATTCTGTAAGTCACCATTGAAGCCTCGTAAAAGTTGCTCACCACGCACAGAACGAAATAGCTGCGAAGCAATAGATTCTGCCATCTGGGTCTGGGTGAGTCAAATAGATCATATCCCAGAGTCTTGAACATCATGTTGGCCATGTAGGTGTAATCCTCGTAAGAACGCTGCTCTCCCATTTTTTGTTGTTTTTTGTCTGCTGACATTTCCACTCTAAGCCGTAACTGAGCTCTGGCATTCAAAGACTATTAGTTTTATAACCGCTAAAGGACGAGGGGGTGCCCACTCCCATTTATGTAAAATGCCGTTTGAATAATTTATGGTCTAATTGTTTTGTCAATCAAAAGTTTAGCAATTTGTTCTTTAAACTCACACGTGTGAGAAGCAGATTAAAAATTAAAGTTGCGGTTGCATAATACCTTCTGGCTGTCATCAATATTATATTTAAATTTACGCATGCCATAAGTCAATCCTCAGGGGCCTGCATGTGAAACCTGTTGCTTTACCATCTATCAAATGCCAAACAACAAGTTTATATACTTAACGACATATTGTAACTAGTTCAAAGCTAAAATAAATCTTCAATAAATGTTTAAGTAACAAGGTTTAATAAAGTCGACCTATGTGGCTTGCGTATATTTTTGTTATTAAACTACATTTCACAATAAGGTCTTACAACACATACAATAAAATACTTTGAAAAATTTAAATTGAGTACTTTGCTATATTTTTTTTGATATCAAACATTTTACATAGCCAACGTTTATTTTTCTGCAGTTTGACGTATAACCGCAAAGAATCGGTATGTGATGGTCATCAACTATGAGGTAGTACATATTATTATTAATACACGGTTCTATAAGGGCAGACTTACTATCTTAAAGGTATCAAGGGAAATAATAATAATTCCCTTGGCTGATATTTCTGCAGGGCGTTGGGCGCGACCCATTATAATAAGTATTTTCTTTTTGTATCGCAACGATCCGTCGTACCACTTGTTTTCGTATGCAGCCTCAGATATTTTGGTACTCTAAAAAAGGTATGTTACTAAGTGACCCAATGTTGTATGTTTTACCCACAAAGTCGATGAGCATTTGTCCATGTAAGCTGACCATATAAAATTGGGCTGTCACACTCATAAAGAGCATCATATACGAAAAGCCTTCCATATTAAAACCCTGCACGACGCTATAGTAGGCCACACAGCAGAGTAAGCTGGCAGTGATAAAAAGATTGGATGCCAAAAGAAGTCCAAATACATCATTTACATCGTTGTTGTATCTGGGAAAAATTATAATTATTTTAGAAGTTTATAGTTAGTTAGTTATACAAAATAAAACAAGTAAGAACGCTTTAGTCGAGTACCTCGACTATCAGATACCCGTTACTCAGCTAAATAGAGATATGCAAGCAGCAAAGCGAGATTAAAATGCGCCACCTACCGGCGGTATACAGATTTAAGCGTTATGGGCGTTAGAGTGGGCGTGGCAAATTTTTTTTTGGATCAATCGATAGGTATTTACGAGACCAATACATTTCAGTTAAAATTTTTTATCTAGCATGAAAATTGTGGGCGTCACAAGTTTTTGCGGTTTGTGGGCGTTAAAGTGGGCGTGGCAAACTTTTTTTTGGGTCAATCGATAGGTATTGATGAGAACATTACATTTCAGCTAAAATTTTTATTCTAGCATCAAAACTGTAGGAGCCACAGTTTTGGGCGGTTTGTGGGCGTTAGAGTGGGCGTGGCACTCTACTGAAACAAACTTGCGCTGCGTAAGAAGCTCAGGAATCTGCACGCCAAATCTCAATAGTTTCCGAGATCTCAGCGTTCATCCGGACGGACAGACAGACGGACAGACGGACATGGCTAGATCGACTCGGCTAGTGATCCTGATCAAGAATATATATACTTTATGGGGTCGGAAACGCTTCCTTCTGCCTGTTACATACTTTCCGACGAATCTAGTATACCCTTTTACTCTACGAGTAACGGTTATAACTATTACAAATTATTATATTATATTTGTACAAATAAATAAAATAGCCTTTTCGATTGGCCTTTGGCGTTATTTTCCGATCCGATAATCAAAAGTAACGAATCTATAATTTTTCAATTAATTATCCAATCGTTTCTATAAAAAAATATAATTTAAAGTTTTAAAATATTAAAACAATGATATTCCTAAGAAAAGACGATAACAACGAAGCTATAATTTATTTCTGCAATAAAAATGACTTGATATTTGTAAAATTTCATCCCGATGGCTTTAAAACATTACAAGTTCGTGTATAAACGGACAGACGGACGGACTTGGCTAGATCGACTAGTCTATTGATGTTTATCAAGAACATAAATACTTTATAGGCTCGTCTCCTTCACCGCGTTGCAAACTTTTGACTAAAATCCGTATGCCTGTTGGGGTAAAAGAATGTGTTCAAATTAGTAATTGACTGTAACTTACCGAAGAATTAGTTGATGTCTTTTAACCAGACCTGCCAGAAAATGGCAATCTTGTCGTTCTCCTTCTCTACTTGGACAATAGGAGGATAATAAATTGGCTATATAGGCAAAGTGCATCGAGATTTGACTTGAAATACACATCATCCATAGGTCTGTACCCAAGCTTACATTCACGATAAATTGACTATAGGTAATGTCTATTACATAGGCCCCCACATAACCCAAAGGCGTATCTGCATCGAATGTAAAACGCGTGGGGAAAATGCGTTTATAAGAAAACGGTTCACTACCGAATCCTATCAGGTACATAATGCAGGACTGAATGAGAGGTAATAATGCCATGAAAACCATTGTAATGTAATATGAGTACAAAACATAGCGAGTTGTTCGCGACAGGTAAAATCTATCGACATTATAATCCTTTTGATTTTTCTCATCAAGCGGATATACTTCCTTCAAATTATTACTCAGCGATCGAATTCGTTTTCGATACATCATAAATGTGACAAACTTCACTTGGGCGCTGAACATGTAAAAGAAGTGTAGTCCTTGTCGCATAATTTTGGAGGAACTTCCGGCCACGGATTCCCACTGAAGGATTCTATAAGTCACCATTGAAGCCGCGTAGCAGTTGCTCGCCATGCACAGAACGAAATAGATGCGTAGCAGAAGATTCTGCCAACTGGGTCTGGGTGAGTAAAATAGATCATATCCCAGAGTCTTGAACATTATGTTGGCGAAGTAGGTGTTATCCTCGTAAGAACGCAGTTTCCCCATTTTCTGCTGCTTTTTGCTTGCTCACATTTCCACTCTTAACATTAACTGAGCTCTGGCATTCAAAGACTATTAGTTTTATACCCGCTACAGGACGAGGGGTAGCCCAATCACATTTATTAAAAATGCTCATAGCATAATTTATGGTCTAATCGTTTTGTCACTCAAGGGTTGAGCAATTTGTTCCTTAAACTCACACTAAATGGCTTTCGAGTGTGAGAAGCTGATTAAAAATTAAAGTTTCATTATTGTATTTAATTACCGCATGCAATTAGCCGATCCGGGTCAACGAAACTTCTTCATAGGTCTTGGTTACATGTTATGTATGCTGTTTAACAATTTATCAGGCCACAGATTACAAGTTTTGATACTTAAAGACATAGCTAGTTCAAAGCTAACACAAATCTTCAGTGAATATTTAAATATCAAAGTTAGATAAATTCAAGCCAATTAATTAGACGACAAATATTCAGCCACTCGTTTATGCAAATTAGCCAATAAAGATCTTTTGTCAGCCCCATAGGCAGATCTTATTTAACGCATTCCGCAAAGCTGCGACTTCAGAATCGGAACTATAAAGTATACGAATTGCTAGCATTTGGACATTTATGGTCCCAGATGTGGACAAAGTCAGGTTCTGTTTTGAATAGAAGTCAAATTTGTTTGGGCTAACTCGGATTGCCTATTCATCCCAATTTGTTTTGTTCGCGGCTATCTCAGCCATAGGAATGCTAATTTCGGTAGTTAAATATATAGTATTCTCGTTTTAAGGTGCACATAAAAGGTTCCAATTAATAAAACGAAAACTCGTCTTGGCTGGCACGTGACTTTTGCTGACTAGTGTAGACACAATTACATAGCTATTGTTGCACTCGTTGACTGCTGTCAAATCGCACGCGAAATGTGAAGGCCGGCGATGCAATCGAGATGACTTCCCCCCAATCCTCCGGCTAGCTCCCTCCTTCAAAATATCTTCTCCACAGCCAACTTCAACTTCATTCATATTTATTCATGTGCCCGGGTCTCAGTAGCCCATTCATGCTTTATTCACCTCGATTTCAGATGGAAACAATCAATTCTATTCGACACAATTGAGTTGAGTTGAAGCGAAATCTAAACTTTGCAAGCTATATCATTGATTACCTAAGTGAGAAATATCAAAGAGCGTAATTACAATTTTGTTTTTAATAAATGGTTTTCGTGCTGCGAAAGTTAATTAATCCGTAATTTTGTAGGAGTGATGCAAGCCCAAGTGGGTGCAAAATAATGGAAAATGTAAATCTCATTTAATTTATTCACTGGCTTCTCGAATTTCCCTACTAAATAAAAAATATGTCTAGATTCGAGATTAGCATTTATATCTTCATATGCTTAAACACGATTAAACACTTAACGCCCCCCAGCTGTGCCATTTGCTTGTTTAGTCAATCGTTTTGCCGGCTACTCTAAATTTTAATTATACAAACAAAAGATACGCGAATTATAATAAAAACCAATCTAAATTCTAAACGGAAACTGTCCAACTCTCCGGCTCGAAAGTTTTTTTGCTGGCCGCTGCACTGTGGAAACAATGCCCGATTTTTTTTCAAAAAGTCCAAAAGGGGTTTTAAGACAATATTATTTATTATAAGGGTATTTTTCTTAATGTTAAATTTTATTTTGTTGCTTAAAAATTTACGAATAAAAGTATTCCTTTTAAAGAAATACAATTATTTAGATAATATTTTATTTATGTATTGTTTTCGCTTAGACCTTTTCAAGAAAAACCAACCCGACTGTTCGTTAATTATGACGGAAACCTGAAATTACTCTCATATAAGTTATATTTTTATAATATTTATCCGCCATGTGGGCATGGACCCATCGACATAAAATTTTAGTTATTTGTTTTATAAGTTTCAGGGAAAATATACACAAAGTTAAACAGCTATCTTATTTTTTTTTCTTTAGTTTACCCCAAAAAACCGCTAATTTCATCCACAGTGGGCCGGTCGGATTAAATACATTTTATGGACTGAAATTTGATGCTTATGCAAAATGGATCGGTTGGAATTCAAAGTTGGTTATAAAACGATTCGTTGGCAGAGGAAGTTGTTACAGTTCTGTCGGACAGATCATCGTTGAAAGTCGCCAAAAATCAAAATGTCTTTGAAGCTGGTAAATACGAGCGAACCCTCCAGAAAGTGTTGTGATCTTAATTTTCGAGTGCTTTTAGTTCTCCTGCCTATTTGTGCTCAGTTTGGCTGCCATCGCATGTGAAGGACAGTCCCAGTACAATCCTTACCTGCGGAATCCCTACTACAGGGATCTGTACTATAGGAACCGCGATCTGTACAATCTGCGTCGCTTTTACGATGGATTCTACAAGAAGTACAATCCCTACATTGCCGCTGCCCAGGCCAGGATTGTGGAACAGAATAACGATGTGAACTACGGAGCGGGTTCCTATGCCTATAACTATGAGACCGAGAACGGCATCCATGGCGAGGAGCGGGGAGTGCCGGTGAACATTGGTAACCAGCAGCAGGAGGAGCAAGTGGAGGGGGCCTACTCCTTCATCACACCCGAGGGTCTGAGAGTGGGAGTCAAATACCTAGCCGATGGCAATGGTTTCCGCCCCGTGATCACCTGTAAGTATCTTAAAATTAATAGGTATGGAATTTTGTGTAAGAACCCTCATTTATTGGGTTTTTCTTCTAGATGACGGCGTCAACTCCGCTTTTTATGCCAGTCAGCCAGCTCCTGCCAATGTGGTCATCACTAAGCATTGAGTTTCCTAATTAGTTGAGTAAAAAACGTGTGTTCAGCCTTCCTTAATAAATAAAAAAAAAATATTTTAAATCTTTGAAGAATTTCAGAAATCTTAAACTAATAAAAATAAATAATTCTAATATTTAACAAAAGGTTTACTCGAGTGAATCGGTTAGCTGAGGTCAGCCATTTTTTCTTTTATTTATTGATTATAGATCATTAAGCTCGTTTACTTGCGTTAACGCCTTAAAAGCTCTATCTATTTCAAACCAAGCTGAAAAGTGTGCTGCAAATAGCATCTAGCTTAAAAACCATATATTGAAATGTGTTGTGAGTTTTAATGTTCTAAAACTTGATATGAATTTCGAATGAGCTTGTGTAAAGTCAATGAGTCATGAAATCATTTCACCTATAACTTTCTTCCAAAAATTACTGAAAAAAGGAGTGTCATCCATAATCATAAAAACAAATCGTCTGCCTAATTAATACTATAACTTGTCTAGCGAATGCAAGGTCAAGCTTAATATCAGCTTGAAATAATTGGGTCGATTCCCGCTTATCGGAAATGTGTATACCAAAATGTATTCGATGCCTACAGAGAACACGTACTTAGATTAAGACTCGTTTTAATTTGGTCTCGCCTTAGTCAGTTCAACAAACCCATTAATTCTTAAACACTGCCCGTATATTGTGTATTGAAAATGTTGATTATATTTCTGCCAAAATGTCAGCTACTCTCATTATCAACTGCGATTCGGCCTTAAAAACCAAATATGCCGTTCAACTCAACGACCTTTGCGTGATCTTCAAATTCCTCAAATCAAAATTCTGGGTAGTTTATAACAAATATTTAGTAGGTTTTATTTCGATATATCATAATAACAAATTAATTATCTTATGCATAGCAACATCGTCAAATTCGACAAGTTCGACAGATAAATAAATACGAAATAACATAGGAGCGGACTATATGTACGAATATTCTCCGGTTGCAATTCGATGCTGACATTCTTCACCTTCCTTTCCTTTTTTTTGTGGATTTTTTTTCGGTATTGCGATGGCTTGTTATAGTGTTTGCCCTGATCAATGGGGTTAACGGGGCAAATGCAAGGGGAATGGAGTTGGGTGTTGGATTTTGGATGGACTAGGACTGTTTCTGGGGGCTTGGGTAGCGGGAACATATGGCTGTGGATGAGTCGAGCTCGGCACTCGCACTTAGTGAGACTTCTGGGACTTTTGAGACTTGGCAGCCTTGCGGAGGCGCTCCAGCTCGGCCTGCTCCTCGCGCTCCTCCTCCTCGGCGAGCTCCACCTCGTGCTCGAGCATGCGGATCTGATCGCTCAGCTCCTTGGGCATCTGATCTAGGTGTATCGCCTTGATCTGGGCCTTAATATCCTTGGTCATGTGATTGATGCGGAAGCCGCGATGGTCGAACTGAGCTCCTCCATTGGCCTTGTGCTGCTCCTCCACATACTTGAGGGCACGGGCAATGGCCTCGGGGATCGGATGGATGTGGTCGCCCTGGGGCATGAAGCCACCATCGTTGGAAGCATAGTTCACGCGATACAGCTTGCCATCATCTCCAGTGTACTCATAGAAGCCCTTGGCGTGGGTTCCTCCAGTGTGATGAAGTTTGGCCTGTTCCTCGCCATAGATTCCATTCTCAGTCAGGTAACTGGTTTGGTAAAATAAAAATATTTAAATGTTAAAAGGTTTTGGGAGAATTAACTACAGATCTTTCGTAATATTAGAAAAAATTATTATTTTCGTAAGTAGTTAAAAACACTTGAGAATTATAAGGATTTTAACTTTAATGGTTATTTCCCTAAACAGAAACTTACGAATGATCGTATTTGTCCTGCTTGCGGACCTCTTCCTTGTGCAGAATCTTGTGGCGACCCTCGTCATCGTAGTTGAACAGGATACTCCGGGGCGTGGTGGTGGTCGTGGTGGTTGTGGTCGTCGTCCTTTTGGTGGTGGTTGTGGGTTTCTTTGTGGTCGTAGTCTGCGAGTGTTGTTGTGGTTCGAATGTGATCATTCATGTGATTTCTGATCGAGCGTGTATGCATGCGAGTGTGTGGCATGGTTTTTGGTGGTAAAGGGTTTGTTTTTTTTTGGGGTCATGCAGGATACCGTATGTGGGGAGTGTCATGTAGCGCGGAATGTTTGGTTTGATTGCAGAGCCGAAAAACGTTCGCATTTTTTGCTTGGATTGTTTATGAAAGCAGGAGTTGGGAATTTAGTTTTTGGGG